TTCAGGATGACCCGGTGTTTGAGTTAGCACAACAACAGGCTTCAGGTGGCGGTTAATAACTTCGGCAAGGTAACAGGATGAGGGGGGGAAAAAGAAGGAAAGATCATGAACGAAGTGCGAAAGTCGCTACCAGTCTAATCACCTATACTTCTATTGGCAAAAGCGTGTGTTTGCAGAGACAAGTATGGAAAAAGTGCTGGCAATATGGAGAGACAAAGCTTTCTGGGCTGAGAGGATGCGGGGGGAAAAAGAAGGAAAGACCATGAACGAAGTGCGAAAGTCACTACCAGTCTAATCACCTATACTTGTATTGGCAAAAGCGTGTGTTTGCAGAGACAAGTATGGAAAAAGTGCTGGCAATATGGAGAGACAAAGCTTTCTGGGCTGAGAGGAAGAAACGATGCACAGAAACAGAGGGATATGCTGCCTCTTCTTATGCTTCGGATGCCAGAATGCCAGAAAACCAGAGTTTCAGTTCACATGATCATGAACTTCCCTGGTAAAACACGCACACGACTGACCAACATGGACCAAGAACAGCAGAAAATCCATTCACATGGATCAACGCAGTCAACCTTCTCGTTCTAAGTTGTTTAGTACGGATCGCAGCGACAAACAAAGTCGAAAGTCCATGCAATCTCGTCAATGGGGGAAAGTGGTCGATGCATTTGTTACCTATTCTAATTCAGGAAATTGAGACAAAAAAATTATAGGGCAACAGCCACCAAAAACCCAAAATTATGCCCGTTGTGACACATTTACCCTAAATTTTTTTCTGTGACCCCAAAAATCTGTACCTGTGTGACATATTTACCTTCCGTCAAAGTTCCGTCAATGAGAATTTTAAAAATCTGCTTACATAGACGCCAGACGTGACTTAAGTAAAATAAAAACAACGTTATTTTGGCCGAAAAATCATTTCACGAAACCTTGACTGAGGATAAATGTGTCACAGTGAGCATAGTTTGAGGTTTTTGATGTTGCAAAAAAAAATTTATGATAAATGTGTCACGGTGGGTATAGTTTAAGGTTTTATGAAGCTTTTTCTTCAAAAAATATATATAATTTAATTTAATATAATCTAATATCTAAGTTGCCACCTCATGCTATAACAGTTTTATACCCTTTTTCCTTTTCAATTCTAAACCATGACCTATTTACCCAAGTGAATAATAATTTGTGCTTTATATGGATGCCACTACACCTCACAATACTTTAGCCTTTCCATTTATTTTTACTTTTTTAAAAAATTTCTAAAAAATAGTTATTCCCAATGAAGAATATTTTAACTAAAATAAAAAAAAGGCATAAAAATTAGTTGGCAGTATTCTACTTTCATTAGTGATAAACTTCACTAAGACTAAGCTCACAAGCTCGAGGGACAGAGGTGATGTGCACATAAATGCTTAATTAGCCTATTCAAATGAATCCCCACGCATGAAAATTTTGAAACATTGAAATATATTATCTATTCAGCCTTGTCGTTTCTTAACGAGATATGACATTAAAACTAGAAGAAAAAAAGCAATTAATCAAATAACCTAATAATTTATCATGTTAATGTTAATGCAATGAAAAATAAAAATTCGATCCAATAATCCATTGACAAAAGGAACAATTTGTACATTAATTGCATCTTCATAATCTCATGAAGTATAGATTGAACAATCCTCGCACAAAACTCTCTTAACTTGTCGAACTTTGAAATTATTTCCATTTACTTTCTTTTACGTTGTACGATCTTACTTGTTTTCGCTATGATATTAAACATATCATGTACTGTGATCGAAAATCTTGTTCCCCTCCCGTGCATAGCACGTCGATGCTGGGTTGACTGGTGTGAACATTGGAATTCAACTGTCCTGAAAGTTCTGAATAACTTCTTCGATTTGAAGTCTACAGACGGATCCGTGGCTGTCGGAAGCCAGACTTTGGATCGTGTTAAGTTCTACGATCCGTGCTCAAGAAACGGTCTCGATGTTAGGTGAAATCTTTGCATGAGATATTTCATTGGTGGGGGGCAATTCCATGATCTTGCCGGCTAAGCTTTCATGCTAGATAGTCGTCAGACTCGCAATTCCAGTATCTCTATAAGTTTTCGGGCATAAAGAAAGCTCCTAAGCCGGTCAAGAAAATTGACTTTAATTCGATGTTGTTGGTGCAATAATCAAACAAGCAATTAGTTCTCCACTTTCCATGTGAAAGACTTCGCAGAAAGATCCGTTGTCATTTTTCATTTTAGGACATGAATAATAGGGTTAGGCGTTTTCAGGTTCCACACAAGTTCCACCCAGAATCTATCTATTAGAATAGGTTCCTTATTTTTTGGAATATGAACGTACCATGTATACGTGGCCGCGTTGGTTTGCGCTCAGTTCCTTTCACAAAAGGTCATAGGTTCAAACTCGCCTATCGGTTATTTAAGTGGGGGGTTGTGGCGGTGGGATGCTGCGCTAGCCCCCCTCGAGGACTAGTCGGGCATCACCGCTAGTTTGAGCCCTAGCTCGCCGGCCGCGCGGACACCTCGGTTATCAAAAAAAAAAAAAATGTATACCCAAGAACCTACCCTGTCACCTATTTCAGGGCTACCCAGGTTCTACATGTGTTACTAATTGAACGATTGCAGTGAATCATTACCTTTAATGACCATCGTTTACTGTTATAATCCACTGATCACAATTTATATTTAGATACACGAAGAGTAGGGCTGTCAATAAAGCCCGGCCCGCCCCGGACCGACACGGCCCAGCCCCGAAATTTAGGGCTTCTTCGGGGCGGGCCTCCTCTGGGTCGGGAATAGTTTTAAATTTTGAATATTATCTTTATTTCGGGCCGGGTCGGTCCGGGCCGGGCTTTTTTGATAGCCGGCCCGTGTCTTAAAAAACCCTAGCGCATCCTCCTCCTCCTCTTCTCTTCCCTCTTCTTCTTCGCTTCGCCTCTTCTTCTTCCTCCTCCTCCTTCACCAGACCATCGCAGCCTCTCTCTCTCTCTCTCTTCTTCTTCCTCCTCCTCCTTCACGAGACCCTAGCACATCCTTCCCCCGGGTCGGTCTGGGCCGGGGTCATGGGGCTGCTCCTCGCCGAGTCGCCGCACCTCTTCGCCGGCGACGCGGTGTCGCACCAAAACGAGGATCCTTCAATCGCGGCTGCCGGATCCCCTACCCCGGCGGCGGCAGGAGGGACGCCGCCGCCGCCACCGAGGAGGGGGGAGCGGATGCGGCGTGGTGGTGGTGGGGATCCCGCCTGAGGCGCATTAGGAGCTCGGCCACCATCCTGTCCTCCACCATCGGCGTCCTCACCCACCCGTCCTTCGCCGCCATCGCTGCCGGCAGCCGAAAACAAATTTACCCACCTCCTCCTGCTCTAGGGAGGCGCCATCGCCAGCACCGCCGTCCTCTCCCTCCAGCGACTCCCCACCTCCTCCTGCTCCCCCACTGCAAATCCGAAAGCCCGGACCGACCTGACACCGACCTGGATTTTCGCTTCGGGTTCTATGCGTTTTGGGTAAGGTCAGGTCAGAGAAAGCATGCGCCCCTCGTGATTCAGGTCGGGTCAGGTATCATAGAAACCCGACCCGACCCGACCTATTGACACCCCTAACGAAGAGTATAAAATATTAACAAAATAAAAGTCTTAGTCATAAAATGGAAGTTCAGACTAGTGGTTCCAGATTATATGCTCATCATCGAACGTCATAGAATACTGTGGGATCACGCAAAGACATAGACCAAGAAAAACATAAAAACTTGTTCCGGTTTACAGGTTCCATCTACTTATCATCAAAACAGGTTTATCAATTTTTGGAACGTGAAACCTGTCTTGCATACCCTGGAACCTAGAACCAGACAAGTTTTTCACCGGCCCAGTTCTTCGATTCTAGGTTCTACTCTGAAATCATACTCACCCCTAATGAATAAGCAAAAACCCCATTTCTTGAAAACTTTGTCTGAAGATCACAAGTTCAAGGGGATAGTGGTTTATGTAATCCTAGGCAAACTTATGGTCTTCCAGAAACATGGGGTTCTAAGCAATTTTCTTCTTTGCTCAACAGCAACTCACTTCTAAAAGATAACATGGAAATTTTTATGCATTTTGGCAGGAAATTGAGCGTCAATTTTTTTTTTTCGGTCTGTCCGACTCTAATTCTCAACTTACTCTTAGATTTTTGCTCTGTCTCTTTGCGGAGCGTGAGAATCGAAATCCACATCTAAAACTAAACGTCCCCATCCCTAGCTCCCTGAGAATGTGAGAACTTGAACTCTCCACCTCCCCTTTCTCAAGTAGGAAGGGCAGCCACTGGGCGAGCATCAACTTATTTGGTAGCTTATGAGCATTTCCCTCGCCTCTCCCTAAATCTTTTAGCAATAAGCTATAACGAGCCTAAATTTTCCTGGCCAAGAATAGCGTGCGCGCGCCCAAGATCAACTTCCACGTTGAACTAGCTAACCGTCCTTCTTCAAGAGCAATAAAGCGAATAGCTTGACTGAATCCAACCGTATTACGCATTAGTTAGCTCCAGCATCTAATATCTCGAGCGAGATGTTAAATCACTTGAAAAAAAAAAAAACATTGGATTTGATATGCTCCAACCCTCCTCATTAGAGCAAATATCGCCTCGAGCTAATCCGTACACGAGCAGTCAATCCCGCCTTCGAAGATTTTCAATGTCGCCGCATGTTCCAGCTCCAAACACGGGGACCCCTGTCGTTCCCTTGATCCCTTCGTATCATTCATTCTATGTCCTCCATACTTACGGAACATTCGAAATCCCGTAATAACAACGTAGTTCCCTTTAGATCGGGATCGGGTCAGGTAGGCCACCACGGGGGCAGATTTTTTTCCAAGATTGGGGGGGGTGGGGGAATCCGGACCGTGACATTGATATTTCCTTGGACGGGGGGAAGAGTTTGACGGCTACGCGCCTGACAAAACCGTGGTGGCATCATCATCATCGGACCCCCCGCCACAGTCGCAGAATCTACACACGACACTGGCTCTCGGAGAATAAGGAACCCTCGAATCCCGGGAAAAGAGAGACAAATATACACGAGGGGGGGGCCCCCGAGTACATTCATGACAAAAAAGGGAACAGCATCAGGCTCGGAGATCAGATAACCCACCATTGCCCCACTCACTACAGCTGCGAACCTTTGGAAAGAAGTAACCAAGATCCACCTCGAACGTCTCTCCCATTGCCGTACCCACTTTTCCGATCTCTCTGACACCCTGAATCCTAGGAAAAAGAGGAGAGGAAGAAGGGAAATTCTGCTTAAAAATCCAACCTTTGGGCACTCTGATCTTCCCTTCCTCGGTGAGAAATCTAGGACTTTGCGAGGATTTAACTTGCTGTCCGGGCAAATAGCGAACTGGGTTTGTGCCGAATCGGCCTGACAATGAGGGAAGACGATGGTGATTGGTTCTCGAAATGGGAATTCCAGCTTCCGCCGCCTGAGGAGCTCACCCCCTTGACTCAGTCCCTCATCACCCCTGATCTCGCTCTCGCTTTCGACATCGGGAGAGGCCCCTCCACGAGCAATAACTCGGTCTCCGTAGTCAACGGCAAGCAACGCCACCCCCCGCCGCCGCCGCAGCACCTGAGTTCCTCCAATCACGATTTGAAGGCCGGGGCAGGTGCGGCGGCGCACCAGCCTGGGCCGGTCGATTTCGCCGATTCGGGCGATCTGGGGTCCGGGGGTGCGGGGGGCGGAGGCGGCGGGGACGAGCCGGCCCGGACCCTCAAGCGGCCGCGGCTGGTGTGGACGCCCCAGCTGCACAAGCGGTTCGTGGACGCGGTGGCGCACCTGGGGATCAAGAACGCTGTGCCGAAGACCATAATGCAGCTGATGAGCGTTGACGGGTTGACCCGGGAGAATGTGGCCAGTCACCTGCAGAAGTACCGCCTCTATCTCAGGCGGATGCAGGGATTATCCGGCGGCGGAGGTGGTGGCAGCGGCGCAGATGCCGCCACTGAGAGGTTATTCGCAAGCGGGCCGGTGCCGCCACATTTTTTGCATCCGGGCAGGGCGAGTTCGGACCATTTCTTGGTACTGCAGCACCACCAGCATCTGGCGGCAGAGGCTGCCGCAGCAGCGGCCCATCCACCGTACCATAGGCAAGTGGGCCATTTCGGGTTACCGCCAAATGGGCAATTTGAGCATCCTCTGTTGCAAAGCAGGCATGGGCAGATGGCGCATACGCCGCATAGCATGGGGGCAACAATGTCAACGCACAATCCAATTCAGTCCTCTGTTGAAGGGTTGGAGTCGGTCAAGGGGAGTGGAGGGAGAAAGGTCCTGACTTTGTTTCCCACTGGAGAAGATTGAGTTTTGGGGTAATCACTAATTTTCTTCCTCCAAGACCTTTCTGTCATCTCCTCAAAGTTTTGTTTTTGTGGTGAGAATGATCATTTATGTTTGTGCTTTCAAAGCATTAGTTTTGGTTCATTTATAACTATTGCGCATTTAGCTTTTTGTTGGGGTTTTTTCTGTTTCCTGCTTTTGATGTGCTTCCAGGGAAACAATCTTGCATTGAAAGGTTCCTGTCACTGAATGTACAGGATTTGGCTGGAGCTGGGCTTTTGATGCTGGTGGATCGGAAGGGTAAGGCCATCTAAATGTTGAGTCTGGCTGGGGCAGGTGGGCACAGAGCATTGCAAGCAATTGTTGGCTGGGATTTGTTCTATTTCAGGATAGGATCACTGTGCGCTGTTTGGTGATTGGTAGATCATTGGCTTTCAACACGATAATATATCGCTCCTGCTTCTGATCAATTGTTCTGGGTTCAACTGTTAATGTAGATTACTTGTGTTTGTTGTAAATTCTGCGATTTAACAGAAATTCTCATTTCATTATAGAATTTATGTCACTGTAATGTGCCGTGTGATGTAGTTAGCTTTTCTTGATTTCCCACTAGATGATACTTAGTTTGTTGATTTACTCCCTCTGAGGAACATCATGCTGCTCGTCGGCTTTTCCATTCTCTTCCATTGTTTAAATCTTATATCAGCTACAACTCTTTTAGTAATTGTTGGGTATTAAGGGTTGTTTTCCTGTAAACCTAGTTTGGCGTTATGGATAATCAAGATCCTTACCATTTCATGTAAATCAAGTACAAGAAAACTCTATTTGTTCTTGTATTTTCTCCTCGTTTTCAGTTCTGCAGGTTTATGATACTCTCTTATTGCCGATCCAACAAGTTCCTCATGCATGAACCTTGTACCTCTTTTCTGATCATGGGTTTGTTCTGTTTGCTTTCTGGTTCTGATGATGAGAGAATTTCGTAAACATTTGTCGAAGAAGTCAATTCTATTGCTTCAATATCCAGCGAGTCATATATGAACTATGCTTTCAACTTCTCTTCCGCTTTTCCATCAAAACAAGGATTCATCATTTGGCCTCTATCTGTTGAATGTTTAGAATCGCCATTGTCTTTGACGGGTAAAGTATTATGCGAGGCTATCCTATTTGATGTTCAGCAGGCATTTCTACTCTCTTGCAATTAAAGTATCTGAATCAATGATATTTAGAGGTGTCATCAGCAGTCAAAATTTCAATCTAACCTTCCTAAGATGAATGTATACTAGATCTCATGACTTTGAAATTCAGGGTAAGAGCATCTGATGTTATATATCTTACTTCACTTTGAACATGTTTTACTGAGAGATGTTTTTTTATTGATTTATCATTACCAAGGGATAAAATTCACTACCATAATGTGAATCTGTAGTTTTCTTATCCATACCAAGTTGGTTTTCAGGCATCTTATCGATATTTTTTGTGGCTCACCCGGACCATCAATCATGATCATGATTTCGGCGTAATACTTGTAAATTGACCATCAGTATTGTCTTTTCGTCAATGACCATGACTCTGAACCCTTTGAGGAATGGTCATAAACGTACTCGATGTTATGTCTAAAGTACAAAAGATATTTTGCTACAGGTGTCATTAGGCTGATTATTCGATAAATTCATGCCATCCTTACTCAAAACATACAGCTAAAACAACTTTGCTTCACATTGCATACTGTCTCATAGGTTAGCTTGGCATGCTCTTCTTTTTTTGTTTGCTCTCTTTTTTAGTGTTTTCCTTCGCTGGACAATTAGTTTAGCATGCCCCTTTTTCCTTGAAGCCGGCTCAATTAACTACTGAAATTGGCTAATTAGTTGAGCTTCTTAGGTTTGATTAAGTATTGGAAGATAAGATCAATCTTTGTCGACCAAATCTGAAAAGTTTGCGACGTGTGGTTACTTGCCCTTGTCAACCAACCTTATCCTATTGCACTAGAATACACAGGAAAGATTGGTTATCAGATCCGATGGGAAACTTCATTTTCCCAAGCCGTTAGGTTAGAGCTCCAATGTTCTGTCAATCTTCAATCTTCACCGCACTTCTTAGCACTCTGAAAGCTTCAAAACCCAGTTACCGAACCATGTGGAGGGAACTTTCCCCCATCTCAGCTATTTATCGCATTTAGATAGCAGGAGCGATTGTATAACTACTGTGAAATGTGGAATACGTACGCATGTCAATTCAACTTTAGGGGCTTCAATTTAGCTTTCAAGTGTCCAGAGTCGGAAATGCCAACAGGATCATATTGAGATGGTGGAATGACAATCACCAAATGTTAATAGTCCAGATATGCAGTATGTACTCCGCCTTGTGGACCTTGTGTTTGCCATCCCTAGTGTTATTCGTGTTAGGATTTGTGCATGTCAAGAATCTTATGAACTACGACAGAGCAAAGCAGGCTTGTAACCCCAGAACTGCAAAGTGAGACATGGGAACTTGGACCGACAGAACAGATCATTTTATTAGATGGCAGTGCAAGATATAGTACTGAAAGTTACCGTCAAAGAAAAGAGATAGTACTAGAATGACAAGCAACACCAGATAAATCCCATACTATAATCAGTGTCGAAAAGACGTAAAAAAAAGTCACGGAAGCTTGAAATAGAACAAAGGATCTAGCCAAACATTGGATCTGAATATATGAAGTCTAACATAAGAAAACTCCTAACAGAACAAAAGTTTTTGCATGTGAATCAGTCATACAACACCATAACCTACCACTACTTAATGGTTTTGCGAGTAATCAAAGCTCAGTGGCTGCTGACAGACAGGGGCCTGCAAAATAAGGGGAAATAAGTCATCCACAATGGGGGGGAAAACACACCTTGGTAAAATATGAATGGTTGGCCGCATGAGGAAAAAAAGAGGAGTAAGCTAGCTTCAGGCCAATGCAGCAAAAGACTCATCTTGAAGATTGTCACAGACGGAAATTTTATAAACCAAAGGCTAAGACCCCAACAGCAACATAAAATTCTCTAACTCAACAGAGTGACAAATATGACATTGAACAGCATCAATGCAGGAAATGAAAGAATTGCCGAGAGAACCCACAAAATAAATATGAAGCTCTGAAAAACAGACTCAATCCGATTATATGACTAAGAAACAGTAAAGTCACCGCGGTCTAAGCTTCCCTTCACATGGCTACTAAAATAGATAGATTAAAAGGATATTTTCACCTGGAAAACACCATGCCGGAGTTGCTCATATGAGTGTGCATACATCATTGCAGCAGTAGGCCACTGCATGTACCCAGTATCACTTGTACTTTGATTCAATCCCGTCACTCCAAAAGAGTTCATAACAGCACCAGAAGGAGGCATATAGTTAAGTGAAGCTTGGGACCTCGGCATCTGACCAAGTGGAGTATATCCAGGATCAAAATGCCCAAAAGGATGTTGAATCTTTGGCACGTTGAAGGGCACCAAACCAAAACTTTGACCAGCAGGGATATTCCTAACATACCTATTTCAGTACAGAAGATAATTCATCAAACAAAACACCAATATTGGAATGCCATAGCATCATGCCATGTTGCAGCTACACAAAAAACACGTTTTTGGGACATTGGAGAAGGCTAAGCAAAACAAGTGTTATGGTAACAGTTACACAGCAAACCGACAACATATGCTTGTAAATAACTTCATCAACAGCTTTTCGCAACAAAGTGATGAATTTTGTAAATACGTCATTTCTGTGCTTCTTAAGATATATTGTTTTGAATGAGAAGTAAAATACCTGATCAAAGGATTAAATCGAGGCTGATAAAAAGATCAACTTCAGTCACATTGATCTCACGCTCAAAATGAAGAATACCGATGGAACAGAAAAGACCCTACCTTTCGTAACTCCGATCATAATCTGGGTCAGAACGATCTTTTTCTCTGTCTTTAAGAATGGCAACCCTAGATTGTGTGCTGCCATCTCTAATGCCTGTATTCTTATCAAGATCCACCACGGGAATCCTGCATGCTTCATCATCATCTCTGTTCAAAGATATATTCCTCCGGTCAGTTAAGGTCTGAGAAAATGTATCATCTGAATCAGAACCACTTGGGCTACTGAAGATACGAGCACGTGCTCTGTCATACTCCTCCTTCCTCTCTTCCATGCTTCGCACTTGGTTTCTTTTCATCCCTGCGTCATTGGCTCCAGCAGATGCTTTACCAGGTCGAGGCCTGATAACAATCTTAATCTGTTCAGACTTATCATCTTCCAACTGCTTGGCAGGAATATCCGATAAGCGGACAGCAGGGAGTCTGCTTCCTGCTGTTTTGATCACCAATATCCTGTTTCCACTGCCATCTAAACCACCGTCCTGAACCATAGTTTGCAAACCATAGTGTTGAGCAACACGGTGTGCGGCTAGCCGTAGGTAAGAGGTTGGGAAGTGCTGAAATTCAAAGTGTTGCTGACCAGAGTTTTGCAAGAATTTCCGAAGATCAAGTTCCATCCTCAAAACTGACCCATGATACAGCAGAAATGGTGTAATAGAATTAGATCTCTATGCGCATTAAGTGGTAAAATAAAAAAGATTGAGAAAAACAAGAGGACGGCTAGAAGGTGAAGGCGACAATATTTAGTCCAGTAAAAACCAAAACACCATGAAGCAGTGAAATCATACATCCTTATTAAAACATGCAATAGCCATTTGGTTTACATTCCCCACTACTGCACTCTCAGAGACCTGGAAAAGATTTAAGCTCCATTAACTGATGCTGTAAAAGGCACAATTTTGACATAAAATCCTAGGAGATGAAAACAAACCGTCTATTCCTGCCAATTGTGAATATTCTGCTTGCTGCTTTAGGTATTCAAACCGTGGCATTCAACCAAAATAGTTTCACTTTCAATCGATGTACAAATAAAGTCAAGGTTATAACTAAGCAGTATAGCTATAACTTGAGCATCGTCACTTAAAAGTTGCTATGAGCTGAGCAGATAGGAGAATCATATAAAGGTGTCTGACAGTAGCCTTAAGTTACGGGATAGCAACCAAAAAAAAAACAATAAGTGATCAGTCAACTGAACCAATGTGCTGAATAAAACCTACGCTACCTGAACCTCTTTCATGAGCTGAGAATTCAGCCTTTCAAAGTTCAATCAGAGATCTATATGAAAGAAATTACTGAGTTGGAGTGCATTGTTTATAAAGCAATGAATAAATGCAGTCAAGTAGAGAGAAGTAAAGAGGAATGCCCGACATAGATTGTCTTTTCTCTTACGGCTTCAAGGGCGCTGAATATAGCAGCATGCTAGTTCACTTAACTTGACAACTAGTGCAAGTCGATCTATTACATTAAGGTCCACTTATCTTGCTTTCTACATTGTAACTCTTCATCCGCCCATGATATGAGTGAATCCCGTCACTCGAGAGGTGTAGATACTCACTGCGACTTATACAAATTGCCGGGATAGACATTAGGCTACATTAATTACTAGGATTTTTGGTCCGATAGGATAAGACGATACAATGTAACACATGTATAAGACACTCAATACCTACGATCCTACCTTATCTGTGTTTGGCGCGCACCTACAGGATTAAATTGAATTTCCATTATGGCTAATTAAGAATAACATACTAATGGAAATAGACGTGGAAACGGAGACGCGTAACGAGTTTCCACATTCAGGGGATAATTAATATCCTAGAGTTAAACTTATTCGGATGCTCCCAACAGTTTCCATGAGACTTTTTGTCCACCAGGGCCTCAAGCGATCAATAGCAATGCGTCGCCCATGGAAAAAACCCGGGGCTAAGCGACGCAGCGCACACAAGAAAAGTCCCCAAAAGAATTGCCCTTTTGAGAGGATGTATCTAATCATACGCTCCTGATAAGACAGACACCCAATGCTAAAATCTCCCGAACTAAGCTAATAACCAGCTGTTTCGCCCTTTCGAGATTACGGTCCACTCCCAACAAGAACCAGCATGACCAGACAAAAGCTGTTTCGCTCGATTTCCTCATCTCTCCCGGCTCCGACAGAAACAATTGCTCAGAGCAGCCTCAGATCTGAACATCCGCACAAACCCTACGCCCGATCGAACCTCCCGCGAAAACCTAAACCCACACGCAACTCTCCACCCACCCGAAAGACAGAAAAAAAAAAAAAAACCGAACCTTCAATGTCAAAAGGGACAAAAACCCACGACCCACCACCCAGACCCCTAAAGGGCAAACGCCCAAGACAACGGAATCCGCAATCGACACGGAACCGCGCGAAGGAAAGAAATCGGGAGCTGGCCCGAGCGAAGGAGGCTTACTGGTGAGGCGATGGCGAGGGTTCTGGAGAGCCTCGACGAGGAAAGGATCCACCATCGACTCCTTCTCGCTCGGAGCCGGAGCCGCCGCCGCCGCCGCCGCTGCTGCTGGGTCCATGGCTCCTCAGCTCTCCCTCTCTCTCTCTCTCTCTCTATCTCTCTCTCTCTCTCTCTCCTCTCGCCCTGGAGAGAAAGGGGGGAGGGCGAGCGTCAGGAGGAAGAAGAGGAGGCGTTGAATTCTCCGAGCATCGTAGTGAGAGAGAGAGAAGGGGCCGGGGGATAGAGAGAGAAACCTCGCTCGCGACGAGGGAGGGAGGGGGGGGGGGGGGGCCCTTATCTCGCAGAGGGAGGAGGTAGAAAGGGGTAAAGCTCGAGGAAAGGAAATATTTGCAGATTTTTATATCGGGAAAAAGACAAGATGGTCAGACCATTGGCTGGAAAAATCTTCGGGCGCGCTTCGGTCTTCGGTGTGAGAGTTGGAGGGCGATTTCGCTCGTCACCTATGGGGTGTCGCCACGTGGGACGATTCGGGGAGGGCGTCGGCCACGTGGGCGGCGCTTGGATCGGGTCGGAATTTTTTTTTTTTCCTTGTCTGGGGGCTGAGCCTTGACGGGTCGATAGGCCAGGTCGGCCGGATCGGAGCCGGATATTTCCGCGTAAGGAGAGTAATGAATGAGGGAGAGAATTTCGAAAATTAAAGTCAATACAATTTAGGATGTGCAGAGAGACCGGAAATCGGGAATCATGAATCGGCTAGAACCAGACCGGACTAGCCCGGAACCAGTGATTCCAATGAGAACCGGTCCGATTCTAGGTTTCAATTTATCAGAACTAGTGAGCACCGGTCTGAATCTCGGTTTTAGGCGTGAAACCGTACACCTGAACCTGACCGATATATATATATATATATATATATATATATATATATATATATATATATATATATATATATATATATATAAATTTGAATTGTGAATAAATGTTTAAAATAACAGAACATAATGGAGAAGGTGAGTGAGGGCAATTCTTTCCTTCCATTTTCCTTTGTGAAGCGACGAGAGGAAGAAAAATCGCCAAATCGAAACAAGAAAAGAAAAGGAATGATGGCAGTTGTCTGCTTCCATGGTGATGGTGAAGATGGCTTCGACATTGATTCTGGGCTTGCTCGGGCTCGTCCTGATACGTGCGTATAGAGTTTTCATATGGGGACCGAGAAGGCTCAAGGACCTCCTTCTTCTCATCTTCTTCTTGAAAACATCCCAGATATCAAGAAAATATTAATTGATGAATGTAATTTTGTAGGAATTGGGGATCAGTTTCATGGACCCACCCGAAAATCGAACCGGATCACTTAGATGAGTCCAATTCTTGGTTCCAATTTTTCAAGCAGGTCGTTAGTGAGCAGTTTCACGTTCCGGGGTAATAACCATACTCACCCCTACAATTTAGGTTTCATACGATAAAATTAAAAAAAATGAGAATTGAAATTGACAATATGGACCCCTGAAAATAGAAAGAAAAAATAATTTATCCATACCAAAAATTCTCGGCAATTGTAGTACTTCTTTTAATTTTCTCCTCTTATCTTGTCCTTTAAATACGTAAATGGATAATGAATTAAATATCCATCGTATTTCTTTTTTCTTTAATTATTTTTTTTAATGTGTGCTTATGTTGTTACTTTAAATATATAGTTTATGAGTGAACAGTATTATGGAGTAACAAAACAAATTAAAGAGTACGGCTAGTAATTAGACAAGATAAACATTGTTTAATGAATATGATATTAAAATAAACGTTAATTTTTTGGCATAAGTAAACGTTGTCATGAGTTAAGAAACATTAAAATAAATAAAATACAAGCTGAATAATTTATTATTTATAAACAAAATAAAAAAATAAACATATCCAAAGGGCAGCTTACTCGTTCTTCACTTTATCGGTTGTGTGATTTTTTTTTAACTAAATAGATTCTTTACATGAAAACCAATAAGGGTGATTTTGACAAACTTATCTTCCATCAATACGGGTTATTAGTATGCTTACAGGTACATAACGTAAACAAAAGAGTTGACTATTAGACATAAGCTAATTTTGGCAAAATATCACTTTATTGTTATCTCATTAGACACGTAATGATGTTACCACTATCTAAAATGTTGAACATGCATTGGTTTCTAAACTTCTACGAATGTCATTTATCATGTCCTTTCATCACTTGTCAATGTTGTCATCCATAGTCTGCCACTTGTCCAATACAACTTGTGACCGTTCAACAATGATGTATAAGTAGTAAGTAATATGAGATTCAAGCAGAGTGTCTTCTTCCATACTTATTATCCATATATACACCATTCTTCGTTTTAGGTTCAAATTCCTTCTCCTCAAAGTTTCCCTCATTTTCAGTGCTCACTTAAGCATTGGAGGGCGTGATGGGTTTCAAAGCATGGATGGGTTAACCTAATTGATGTGCGGCAGTTTACACTCAAAAAAATGCCTAACTTTTATTACTGACAAATGATAATCTTGACCGACTATTCAAGAAGTCATTTGTGAATAAGGGGGCCGATTTGAAGGACATTAATCTATAATTCACGAGTAAAGTTGTCGATGGTAAAGTATCGACAGGTAACATTGCCACTCGACGTCAATTGTTGAAGATTCGTCGATTGCAAACTTTGCCAAATGCTGGAATTGGAGGGCAAATAAGATGCGTCGATTCCTACCGACCAAAAAAATAAGAAAAGATGTGTCGATTCCCGAAATCAAAAGACGATTTCTTTACCACGTGGCGATTGATTATTCCAATGACTTCGAAAGTACTAACCTTTTGTGGATAATGATTATCAACGTACGGAAAACATGCATTTGACCTTGGACTACGTATAACTGTATTCATAGTTAGTAATAGTATCTGCTTGTGGGTGGTTTTTATTAGAGGGAAATGATACAAATAGTCCCTGAATTTTGGCTCAATGTACAATGTGATTCTTGAATTTTAAATTTGTTCAATGTCGTTCCTAAACTTTTAATTTGTTTAATGTGGTCTTTGAACTTTTAATTTGTTAAATGTTATCGCTGAATTTCGGGTACATGTTCAATTTAATCCATGAACTATACGAAAATGTTCAACGTAATCCTTTCATTCTTACGTCAGTTGAGTAAGAATGAAATTTCCAAGGAAATCATATGTTTGATTGTATTTAGACTTTAAAACCCGGCCAAAAATTCTTTTTTAACTACTCGTGGCTTAACTCCTAAGAAACTCTCAATTGAGCCACATGACCACAATTCTCCTTAGACTTAAATAATTGGTTCAAAACCGGTGCATCTCCGTTCCCTTGCGGGTTTTTTCTTGTTTCTTTTTTGAAGCTTGTTTTAAAAATCAACACAAAAACTTTATCGATTTATAATGTATATTTGACTTGATTTTAGTTCAACTCCAATCTGAAGCCAGCCAAAACACGGAACAAAGCAAGATTGAAGTGCATAGAGGCTCCAAAGAGTTATGGCACTTGCGATCTTTTTATAAATCGTTAAGCTTGATTGAAAAAGTTTGAACGATCGTAATTAGATAACTCCGGCAAGGTGTTCAATGTGCAGGCTTCATGCGCGGTTTCCCAAACAATTCAAGACCAACGTCGGATTTAAATTCAATATGCATTTTCAGCGACGTTCGATGAATCTTGAGTTGCAAGAGAAATTGAGCAAAATCGAGCAAAATCGACTACTCGTGGTTGTCTTGCTATCGAGTTGTTGAATATTTTCAACGCATTAATTACACACGGCACAAGAAAGATAACGTAATAGAAAATGACCAACTTTCATGTTTAACTGATTCTCTAGAGTTGCTTAAAATATGTTCATTTTTCTTTTTCTTCTTTTTTTTTTTGGGCCGTAGTGGCACTAAATCTAAAGTTTATAGAGAGGATCGAGAGGATAATTTGATTTAAAATAATGAAGAGCGCACCGGTAGGAAACGACGGGGGAGGTGGCGTAACGGGGACGAAGCTTACGCGTGGAAGCAACGACCCGCTCCGAAGTTTCCAGAGACAACCCCTCCGGCCATATCATCAGATCATCATCCATCCGTCCATCCATTTAAACCCCCACAGCACGACAACGTGTCCCTCGGATCTGTTGAGGTCTACGGTCGCCTCCGCGTGTCCATCGCCCACTCCCGCTTTCACCCCACGCGCTCTTCCCTTCCGCGCCGAGACAACGACCGGATCGGGTTCCGATAGCTTGATTCCTCCTGCGATCTTAGTGATTTCGTGTTTGGCGAGAGATTCCTGTCGGAAAAGTCGTGTGAATAAGAAGCAGAGGAGCATCCGGAAAAAAGATGTCCTCGGACATGAAAGTATTAACAAAATAAAAGTATCCGTGGTATACATTACTGAAAATAGAAACTTGGATTAGTGATTTCAGATTACGTACTCATGCCATAGAATAGAATGTTTCAATATCTAGGTCTCATTTGGAACTTATCCGCTAGAACCGGTTCCAACCTATAATTACTCTGCATGCTTTTGAAACCTGAAACCTGGAATCATCCTTACCCCTATTATTCCATAGTTACATCAACTCCATTACTAGATGATTACATCAACCATCTAATGGTTACATTGACTTTATTATCAAGCAGTTACATCGATGGTTACCTTGACAGTTATGTTAACTCCATCAGTTTAACGGTTATTTTATTCCACTACGCTGATAGTTACTATGTTGAAGGTAACATTCGATATTGTCCAACTACAAGGAAAAGTGTAAAAAAAGTCATAAACCTTTTACATTAGTGCCAATTTATCCTAAACTTTTTTTTGGTGCCAATTCAGTCCTAAATCTTTTAATATAATGCCAATTTAGTCATTCCGGCTAATTTAAACACGATATTGATGATGTGGACGCTGATCGGCTTACGTGGCATCGCCGGCGTTGAGGTGGACAATTTTTAATAATATTTTAATATTTTTTTCGAATTTTTTTTTGATTTTTTTCTTTCTTTTCTTTTTTCCTCTTCTTCATCTTCCTTTTCCAGTGACCAACTGGCGATGGCCGGCCACTAGCCATGGCCGTGCGGGCTGGCCTTACCTGAGCGAGGGTCGTCATCGCCCAGCTGGGTAAGGGCGAGGCCTGGCCCGGCGAGGGTTCCCCTTGCCAGATCTGACGAGGCCGACCTTGCCGGGTGTCACCTTCGACCGAGTGATGCCCTGGCTTGGGTGAGGGTCCACCTCGCCAGATCTGACCCGGGCGAGGCCGACCATCGTCGGGCCTGTTCAGCCACGCCGCTCATCGCGCCACCTTCATCCAGTCTATGTTCGCTGGTCTTGACGTTGCACAGCCAGTCCAAGGTCCTGTTCGCCGCTTGCTGCGCTATCGTTCCTCTAGCTCGACGCCATTGCACAGCTAGCCTAGTTGCCTTCGTCGTTGCTCGTTGCCCAGGCCAGATCTGGCGAGGCCGGCCCTCGCCTAGGCCAGGGTGGCCTCGCCAGATGTCTCCTTCGCCTGGGAGATGCCCGGCGATGGGAGCCCTTGCCGAGGCTGGCCCTCGCCAAGCCAAGCCTCGCCCTCGCCTGGCCAGGTGACGTCGACCCTCACTCAAGCGAGGCCAGCCTGCCCGGGCACGGTCGGTGGCTGGTCACCGGAAAAGGAAGAAGAAGAAGAAGAAGAAGAAGAAAGGAAAAAAGAAAAGAAAGAAAGAAATAAAAAATAATATAAAATTCGAAAAATATTAAAAATTATCCACGTCAGTGCTGGCGGTGCCACATAATTTGGTTAGTGTCCACGTCAGCAATATTCGATCAAAATTAGCCGGAAAAGACTAAATTGATACTCTTTAAAAGGTTTAGGACTGAATTAGCATAAAAAAAAATTATCACTAATTGGACACTTACATAAAAAAATTTAGGACTTTTTTGACACTTTTTCCCTCCAACTACACTTTATATCAATTCCATCAGCCGTCGATTCCTCAAGTTATGGACCGTTTTGACCAAACTGCCTTGCTTGACCAATTCGTCTCTCTAGACTTGTCGATAACAACCAAAACTTTTTATTTTTTCGGCGTAAACAATTGCAAACGAAAATTAGACACCAATTACCCAAAAAGAGTACATTTTCCCCCATTGCGTTGGAGAGTGGAAACGGACGTGGGCGCACGCGCTGAGAGCGAACGTGGGCGAAGAGGCGTGACGCATTCGGGACCCAAAAATGGTGGGGTTTTTTTTCCAGGGAGCGGAGCGGAGCCAGTCTTCTTCGTCTTCAATAAGAAGTCCCACAAAACCCCCGAAAGACTTCTGACTCTTTCCTTCCTCCACCCATCTTTCCTCCCTCGCTCTTGCCCCCCCCACCCCTTCGTGCTCCCACAAACCCTAGCGATGCTCGATCCGCCGGCGGCGGCGGCGGCGTCGGGCCCCGACCCCATCGCGGCGGCCGACTTCGATGGCCTCCCGATTCCGCCTCTCGACCCGCTGTTCTTCTCCGCGGACGACGCCGGCGGCTCGATCGGCGCGCCTCAGCCCTTCGATCCCGATCTCGCCTTCGACTTTGGGTTCGAGGAGAACGGGGACTTCGAGTTCACCTTCGACGGCCTCGGCGATCTCTACCTCCCCGACGAGAACGAGTCCTTCCTCATCCCCTCCCCCGCCGGGGACCCCGAGCAGATCAATTGCGAGTCCGGTTCTTCCGGAATCTCCGGCGACGGGGCGTCCGATGTCGCCGGGTACCTGAATTGCCCGCCGTCGGAGTCTGGTAGCTACCGATCGGGCGATCGGAGGGCGGGCGCTGAGAATTTGTCGGACGTTCCGTCGCCGGACTGCGATGTCTCCGGCGATCGGGAGCTTTCGGGCGGTCCAGTCTCGTCGCAGGGGTCGGGGAATGGTGGAGGCTCTGGCTTGTCGGAAGATACCAATCCTCCTTCGCCGTGTTCCGGAAGCTTCGAGCGGGATGTTTCTTCCAAATTGGCTGGCGATCAGAGGTTGAAAGCTGAGGAGGAGATGTGTAATGCTTTTGTGGCGAAGCGGAAGAAAGGGCAGGATGATACAGTCTCTGAAACTCGAAGTATTAAGCACAGGCGATCATCAGTTGCCGCGGTGGATGTGGATAATTCGCAATGCAATGACGAGGACGATGAGAAAAAGAAAGCAAGGTTGATGAGGAACCGTGAGAGTGCGCAGCTCTCGAGACAGAGGAAGAAGCATTACGTGGAAGAGCTTGAGGAGAAGGTGAGGTCCATGCACTCGACTATTTCGGAATTGAATGGCAAAATATCGTTCGTTATGGCTGAAAATGTCAGCTTGAGACAGCAATTGGGTGGTGGCGGAATGTGCCCGCCTCCGCCACCGGGTATGTACCCTCCGCCGCCGATGGCGCATATGGCTTATCCATGGGTTCCTTGTACGCCGTATGTCATGAAACCGCAAGGATCGCAGGTGCCCTTGGTCCCAATTCCTAGATTGAAACCTCAACAACCAGTGTCGGCTTCCAAAGCAAAGAAAGTTGAGACTAAGAAGACTGAGGGTAAAACTAAGAAGGTTGCCAGTGTTAGTTTTCTTGGTCTGCTGTTTTTTGTTTTGCTTTTCGGAGGTTTGGTTCCAATGGTCAATGTCAGGTTCGGCGGAAGTGGGGATGCAGGTGCTGGCAGGTTTAGCTACTTGAATGATAGGCATTATGATTATCACAAAGGCAGGGTTCTGGCTGTTAATGGACATATGAATGGTACTTATTATGCCGCTGGAAGAGGGTCTTTCGGTGCAACATACAGTACTGGTGCTAATAGAGGCTGTGGCGGTGGGTCGGACTATAAGATCACGAGAAAAGATAGAGAATCTATGCCCAACATGAGCGAGCCTCTTGTTGCCTCTTTGTATGTTCCTAGGAATGATAAGCTTGTGAAAATTGATGGCAACTTGATAATTCATTCTATTATGGCGAGTGAGAAGTCTATGGCATCCCATGCATCTGGTGAAACAAAGAATCATGGGATTACTGATCCGACAACAAGGCAAAATCTGGCCTCAGCATTGGCTCTTCCTGAAGTTGCAAGGGCGAACTCCCGTGTGTATGGAAAACCAACTGAAAGGCAGAGGGCCCTTGCTTCTGGGAATGGCGATCCATTGAAGGAGCACATGAAGTCAACACCAGCAGATGGTAAGCTGCAACAGTGGTTCCGCGAAGGCCTTGCAGGTAATGATGGTACTTTGCTTTCAGTACCTGTGTACATTGTACCCATGTTAGAGTCTTTTGGGTTTGATGTAAATCTACAAACAGATATTGTTTTCACTGAGTTACCTTCTTTACCCGAAACCCTGTTATTATCTGAGTTCGAATGATCAGTTTATTTTGGTGCTTAACGCAGCAGTGAATAGATTCACTTCAATGGAGTAAGCTGGATCTATTCTTCGCTAGTGTGAAATGTTAAATTGCTGAGGTTTTGGCAGCTTGAAATTGCTAAACTATCTTTGTTTTTATTTATTGAAATTGATTATTTATTGCTTCTAGTGAGGATTTATCCACCGATGTGTTGTTTGATTGAATTCAGCTGTTATCAGCTGCATTACCTGTATGGTCTTCTTCATATACGGGTTGTCTTGCTGATGTTTCCTAGATCTTATTTAGGCTGATCCGTAGATTGCCGTCTATGAAGCTATCATGTTTCGTTCGGTAGCACTTTTATTTCCTTTTCACATTACTTTATCTATTATTAATAGGTGGGTGTTTGATCCTTAATCTTTTTATTCCCCGTGTTCTCTCCTTTGTAACTATGGGTTGCCAAGCTGATACTCGATCTCCTAGATATAGATAAAGATTTATCTGTAGATAGCTGTTTATGCAGCTATGTTATTTTGGCTGAAGTTTTACTTTTTTTTTTTCACACCACTTCATGTTAATAATTGGCGAGATCTGATCCTTAATATCTTCATTCTTTTCATGTTCTTCGATTTTTTCCAAGTCATCATTCTTCTATAAAGGGTGATCTCTTGCAAGCTCAGGGTCTATGTTCCACTTAGGTCATAGATCACACTGCTGTACTTAATTTGCATCATGGGTAATAATCATGTTGTTGCATCGTCAGTCAATCTGCTGCTTCAAGCAATTTTTGCCTTCATTATCTTTTCTGTCGGTGATTGAAATTAGGTTGTAGATTACCTGTTTTACGCTGTCATTTTGCCTGCAGTGTTATTATGAAGATGCACATCACGTATTCCTGTGAATGAGTGCGGCTATTTTTTCTTGTTGCAGGGCCCATGCTGAGTTCTGGCCTGTGCACTGAAGTGTTTCAGTTTGATGTCTCCTCGGCTAAAGGAGCCATAGTACCTGCTTCTCCAGTTGGTAACATGACTACTCGTCGGAACGCCACTCAAGCGGGCAAGGGGAGAAACAGAAGATTCCTTCACAATTTACCCAATCGCCTTGCTGGGTCCAATTTCAATGTGTCCGAGGAGCAAGCGAGAAGAAACTCGAAGACTCGGGACCTTCCAACTAACAAGTCTCTTTCCTCGATGGTGGTGTCCGTGCTTGTGGATCCCAGAGAAGCTGGAGACGGCGACGTCGATGGCATGATCCCACCAAAGTCCATGTCTCGCATCTTCGTGGTGGTACTAATGGATAGTATCAAGTACGTGACGTATTCCTGCGTGATTCCGCGTGCCGCTCCTCATCTGGTGGCCACTTGAGGTGGAGAGAAGTTCGAGAGCGGTGCGGCAACGACATAACTCACAGTTTTGTATATATGTCAGAGAGACGAGCTAATATGACCGGTACTATTACCTTGTAAGGGCTTTCCTGGAAGCAATCGAACTATTTAACTTTTGCTTATCTTATCGCTTCTCCGATCTCGAGTCCTGTTTTGTAAGGGTGATGGGAACTTTTGAGTTCTTCGGATGGTGTGGTGGGGTGTTCTTTCTAATCATAGAAATAAGGCAAATACAGTTCGACATACTCTTGTATCTTGCATCATCAAGTGGATGCTATCAGCTGAAAGTAGTTTGGTATTGCTTAGAATGCCAATGATCATCATCATACCTTTAGGCTTTTGCTTTCCATTAGGGTTCTGTAATTCGAAATTGATCTCGAGCTCATTTCAACGTGAGTAGGCTGAGAATCGAAGAACGGAAGAGACGAGATCCTTACACAAGACGTTTCAATCGTTTCGATCGAAATCCGGGTGCTACGGTCGAACCATCCATGATACATTCGGTGCCGGTCTTAACAATCCCGTGTTCGAAACCCGACTCGAGAAGTTACGAGATATTATAAAGAAATAATTTAATAATAAGCGAGAGTTTTTTTGAAATAGAAATGCAAAAATTATTTGGAACGTCTATGTCATGCGAGTAATATGATTGATCGATTACATTGTCCTAATCGCGTGGCTAATACAAGGATGCCTTTTGTCGCTTTACAACGTGGGAGCTCGCTTTGCTTAAGGAATATCGATGACACCAAATCTCTCTACTCGCTTTTGTTCGGGAGTGTTGGGAAAGGCTCCCCAAATTCGATCTCAGCCCTCCATCTGCTCCACGTGGACAGCGCGGGCAATTTTACCGAATATTTGTCGTCCTTCATTAAACAAATTCAATTTGAAGGAATAGAAAAAAAGGGGAAGAATCTCTCCCTTCTCTGAGTTTTTTCCCGAGAAAACGAAAGACAGTAACTCCTCTTTTCCTCGGCGGAAAATTCTCCCAGATCAATTCGCGTCACCTGCGTCTTCCTCCCCCCGGCGATTCGAAGCTGACAATTTCGAGGAAAACGGACGGACGAAGGAGGAGCAAAAGGGAAGCGAAAGTCGCGGCTCCATCGGCGAAGCTCCAGTTCCTCTTCCGATCGGCTCGCGGGCTCCTATCCTCGGCCGTGGAGGTATGAACGAGTTTTCTTTTCGAGGGATAGGTTTCGCGTGCGAAAAAGCTGACGAGAAACTCGCGTCCGCGCTTTCGGCGCCGCTTCCGGTGCTGTGGCCGTTGGCTCGACGTCGAACGGCCGCCGCCATTGCCGGTGTCTCTGCCTTTCGGAGGCCGAGACACGGCCGATTGCGTCATTTCACATGTTGACCGCGCCGGATACCGTGAGGACCGGTGGGTTTTCGTAGGTGCATTGGCGATTTCGTTTCAGTTCGTTGTGCTGTTTTTCGATTTTTGGAACTGCGTCTTGGTGGTGGATTGGTGGAGAGGTCTCCCTCTCATACGTCTCGTGGCTATCGAGTTTTTTCGTACCGCTTGGTAGCGTGGATCGGTTGGTGGCGACCTGAGCTCAGTGCAGTTGCTGATACCGATTTGGCGCGACCGTTTAGTGATGTCAATCTTCTGATACGAGCGTTTTTCGAGCAGCAGCTTCCATCATCTATCTATTTCGAACTTTTTTCTAACCATTGTCAACTAGGACAGCGTTTGTCTTAGCTCAATGCAGATTTGATTCGTTTCGTCTTCCTTCTCTGTGCCATGGTCGGAGTCTTACATTGTTGATTGGTAGTTTTCTGTATGTTTGGGCTAGAAGTTCTGCGTGCTAATCAGCTGGAGTGGTCTGCCATATTAAACAGGAATCGCCAGACATGAGGGAATGATTGCGACCAGCAAATAGTGCGGTTCTAACCATTTATCGAGGTATTTAAGTTGGAAATGATCTTTCTCTTTCGTTTCTATATTTGGAAGTGTGGTGCTATCGCATGATTGGATTTATTGGTCTGACACTTGGCAGTTATTGAGTTTTCGCAGCGTCGTTTTATGATTGGATTTGAAAAATGAATGCAAAACCTAAGAGGAGGACCGCTACAGAGAATGGAGATGCGGGGGAGGACCTGGTCCTCGCGACTTTGATTAGTAATGGTGAGGATTTGGGTCCCCTTGTGCGGCATGCCTTTGAAATGGGACGCCCCGAATCGCTCCTGCAGCAGCTCAAGCATGTTATGAAGAAGAAAGAAGTGGAGATTGAGGAGCTTTGTAAGACGCATTATGAGGAATTTATTCAAGCTGTTGATGAGCTCCGTGGCGTGCTTGTTGATGCTGAAGAACTCAAAAGCGAGCTCTCCAGTGACAATTTTAAGCTGCAGGAGGTTGGGAGTGCTCTTTTGATCAAAGTCGAAGAACTTCTCGAGTCTTATTCAATAAAAAAGAACGTTGCAGAAGCTATAAAGATGTGTAAGAACTGTGTGCAGGTCTTGGATCTTTGTGCAAAGTTCAATGGTCACTTTTCCAAGGGGCAGTTTTATCCTGCATTAAAAACTGTCGATATTATTGAGAGGAATTACTTGCAAAATATCCCTGTCAAAGCTCTTAAAATGGTTGTTGAGAAGAGAATACCGCTTATCAAATTGCATATCGAGAAGAGACTAAGCAGCCAGTTCAACGAATGGCTCGTACAGATAAGAAGCTCTGCCAGAAATATTGGGCAAACGGCGATAGGACATGCTGCATCAGCCCGCCAACGGGATGAGGAAATGCTGGAACGTCAAAGAAAGGCTGAAGAACAGAGCTTTTCTGGGATAGGAGATTTTGCTTATTCTCTTGATGTTGAAGAACTAGACGAGGAATTTGTGTTAAAGTTTGATCTTACCCCTCTTTATCGAGCATATCACATCCATACTTGTCTGGGAACCCGGGAGCAGTTTTGTGAATACTACTATAAGAATCGACTATTGCAGCTTAATTCAGACTTGCAGGTATCGTCTGCACAGCCATTCGTCGAATCTTATCAATCATTTTTTGCTCAAATTGCGGGTCATTTTATTGTAGAGGACCGTGTCCTGAGAACTAGTGGTGGGCTCTTAATTGCTGATCAGATCGAGACAATGTGGGAGACTGCTGTTGCCAAAATGACCTCAGTACTGGATGATCAATTCTCACATATGGATTCTGCCACCCATCTCCTCCTCGTGAAGGATTATGTTACTCTGTTTGGGGCAACTCTTAGACAGTACGGTTATGAAGTCGGGTCTCTTTTTGAGGCTATGGACAATAGCCGAGACAAGTACCATGAGCTTCTTTTGGAAGAGTGCAGACAACAGATTATAGGTGTTCTTGGCAATGACACTTATGAGCAGATGGTGATAAAAAAAGATGCTGATTATGAAAATAATGTCCTCTCTTTTCATCTTCAAACGTCTGATATCATGCCAGCGTTTCCATATATTGCACCATTTTCGGCAATGGTACCTGATGCTTGCCGCGTTGTCAGATCATTCATCAAGGGTTCAGTTGATTATTTGTCCTATGGAGTGCATGTAAATTCTTATGACCTCGTGAAGAAGTACTTGGACAAATTCTTGATTGATGTGTTGAATGAAGCTTTACTCCATACAATTCAGAGCAGCAATATAGGTGTATCTCAAGCCATGCAAATTGCTGCAAACATTGCTTTTCTTGAGAGAGCCTCTGATTTTTTCGTTCGACATGCTGCCCAACTTTGTGGGATCCCAATCCGATCGGTTGAAAGGCCTCAAGCTAGTTTGACAGCTAAGGTGGTTCTGAAAACCTCAAGAGATGCAGCTTATATTGCTTTGCTGAATTTGGTTAACTCCAAGTTGGATGAGTTTATGGCACTTACAGAACATATTAATTGGACAACGGAGGAGATAGCCGAAAATGGCAATGAATACATAAATGAGGTGCTTATTTACCTTGAGACTCTTTTGTCCACAGCACAGCAAATTTTGCCCTTGGATGCTTTGTGCAAAGTGGGAAACGGGGCTCTTGAGCACATCTCTAACTCTATAGTGTCAGCGTTTCTCAGTGATAGTGTGAAGAGATTCAATGCAAATGCTGTCATGGGGATCAACAATGACTTGAAGATGTTGGAGTCATTTGCAGATGAGAGATTTCACAGCACAGGCTTGAGTGAAATATACAAGGATGGTAGCTTTAGAGCGTGCTTGTTGGAAGCGAGGCAATTGATAAATCTTCTACTGAGCAGTCAACCAGAGAATTTCATGAATCCAGTGATCCGAGAAAAGAATTACGGTGCACTGGATTATAAAAAGGTCGCTACTATCTGTGAGAAATTCAAGGATTCCCCAGATAGCATATTTGGGAGCCTCTCAAACAGAACTACAAAACAAAATGCTCGAAAAAAATCCATGGATGTGCTGAAGAAGAGACTGAAGGACTTCAACTGAGACTGCCTGAAGCTTTCTTCGTTAGATTTAGAAATTCTGAAGCTTTTTAAGTTTTTCTAAATTTCTCCCTCTAAAAATGTTTAGGGTGGTATGGATTCTTTTAATTTCCATGACAATTTATTATGATAATCTCTAATCTTGCATTTTCATGTACTATGTGGCTTTCTCCATATTTTTGTTTTCTGATCTTGACCAACATATGGCGTATTGAGGTATTATGGCTGCAGTCACCATATTTTTTTGCAAAAATTACATTTCTTTATACATGACATTGAACTTCGAGGAAGTACTCTGTCCTATTCCTTCTTGACTTTGTGACCCATGAAATAGATGGGCAAGTTCATTATCCAATGTTAATGTTATATTTCAGCATCCAGGACTATCTATTTTGGGGTTCTATGAAATTTAGATTGTATGATTTCAACAATTTGGGGAGCTCTTTGACCTAGCCAAGCAGCATGGAGTTGCTAATTGAGAGCACTATAGGGAAGACGGGGAAATAATGTGTTTATGGGAGGGCTTGTGGAAATTATTCCCATTTCATGTCCCATTCACTTGCTTAAATAAGTATTGTGACTGTTGAGGGTTTAGTGAGATATCTCCGGGTCGTAATTTAGCAGAATTTCAAGTCTTTCAATGACTGGACTGAAGTTTCTTTTTTCTGCAGATAGCTAAGTAGCCTTAACAGGTGAAGAGTTTGGTACAGTAAATTAGCTTGAAAGGTATACTTGCTTTTCGAATCTCCAAAAATCTGACTGGCCTCCCACTCAAAATGAATTTCTGTGCTTTAGGGTTAGCTGAATGTGGCCCTTTTTCACATCATTGTGTTATGCTTAACAGAATATTTGATGAAATGGTTAATTGGAAGCTGCACTTTATCTTAAAGGGAGGAGCTTCACCTGGCAGAAAACAGTGCGAGTTAATGATAATTTATCTTCGGAGTGAGTGTCACTGACATGCAGAAGCATGATAACTGGGGGATTCCTCCTCCAGTGGTTAGGGTTTAGGATCAAGGGAGCTGCAGCAGCATCCGCAACATAAAATCGCCACTCTTACTTGTACCTCCAGAGCAGTCCTTTCTCTGATATCTGGAAATGCTAAACAGCAAATTGGCAGCAGAGCTGATCACCGCTAATTCTTCGTCAAATGATGATAGGAGCCCTTGCTTAACTGGAATAAGTTGGCTTTTACTCAGCAAGATCAATTATCCCACTACTTTTTGGGAAAAAAAAATTAGCATCTCTATGCTTACGGTTACAAGTTCTCTGAATTGGGATTTGATAGATGCAGCAGCTATGAGTTTCATGTCAGCAAACTCAATGAGGGTGATGAGATCAGAGTAAATAATGCGAGTGTGCATGCGTTGGCTTTTGGGCAAAAAGGTGAAGGCGATCACCTGTCACAGGGTAAGCAATGACATTTTCTTCTATTTTGCATGTTTCTTTGTGGTTCAACTCTTTATATAGTATATTACAATTCTATCTGAGCGGTGATAATTATTTTTTGCTTGGTCGGAAGCAAAAACAATCGACTGGGCTTAAAATTGCTTCAAAGTGGTGTTAATTGGAGTATTGATTCCTCAGCGATCAGCATGCTTATCTTGCATCTTACATGTGCAGTAGATTTGTTCCGAACCGCAGTGAGTCATGAAAAAGGTTTGTCAACCGATATCTATTGTGACCATTCAATTTAACTGAGAGAAGATAAAGAGTGTTATGATGCAGTGCATCTATTAATGTTGTTAATTTGATTCTCTAATAGTCAACATTTTCTGTATATCAAGGCTACTTTTTTCAGGAAACAGTCTAAAGAAATAGCAGTTCGCTGCTAGCCATGGAGACCATCAGGTTCTGCTTCCCTTTTCTCATTTCTTGAAGGAAATTTGAACCTTGGAATCCAAATTCTGAGTGAGTGCATTCTATTCATAAGTATGGCCCAGACGTTAATGATACATGTAATTCTGGTTGGGCGGGACAATGGACACCAACTTCTCTAACCCTCTTACCCAGTATTATATTTTGATTTGAGCAGTCTCTCTCTTTCTCTCTCAAGCGGAAATGCAACTCTGACCAAGTAAGCTGACCACAGGAACAGAATGGTTAAACACTGACAGGAGCACAATGGCCATTGTTGATTAAACCAAAGAGGCGGACGAAAGAACAGGTATGCTCCTGCTTGGTCACCGGATATAATGGGGAACGAGGGGCATAATTGCATCGTTTGTTAGTAAATTAATGTTGCAAGAAATTTGTGGGGTTCTGGAACTTTGCTTATTTTTTGCCTGATAATTCATCAGATCATGTGGAAGTCCCGTTGCCCGCTGAGAGATAACAGTATAATCGATAATGTCATCTATAGTAGACAGCCTCACAAGACAAAAAACCAGCTAGCAAAACATATTAAAAGGCTACCCACATACAACAAATGATCATCATCGGAATTATCCCAAGTTCCTAAAATGTTGACGCTTTGGTTCTGTTGCCAATCTCTATGTTTATATACCTTTGGTTCTGTCACGGTTTTATATCCTTTGAATCAGAGATTCCTTAAAGAGGTAGAAAATCCAAAATAAGCCAAACTACCCATAGATTGTCTTGTGATCTAAAGTTAGACAGAAGTATCTTTTGTACAGAGCCTTCTAGTAAAAATTTCCTTTTAAGTGAAGGACTCCATCGGATGGAAAAGCAAAAAGAGGAACACACATGGTCAGTAAACCAAGATTATTATAAGCTGTAGCTTGCTATTATGTTCATCTTTTAAGTGTAAACTTTGACAAGTGATGCAAGCTATTATGTTCATCTTTTAAGTGTAGACTTTGACAAGTGGTGCAAGGCCATCTTGATTAAGACATCTTACTGGTTCACCTATGTAGGATCAGAAATATCATCCACATCCTAATGTGATTTCAATGGTATTATAATGAACAAATCAAACAGTGATGGTGATAAGAAGTTATAGTACACGAAAGGATTCCCGAATGTGGACAAATGCCAAACCCCATCACGCGCATGCACATCTTCGTCTTTCTCTTCATGATTATGATTGACAAACAATCGAGTGCATGTGGGGTCTGGTCTTCTTCCAAAGCTATCACCCATCACGGGACTTCACTAGCATAGCTGGCCCCTTTCACCTTTTTCATTACATTTTGCTTGAATTCGGTCAACATCGTTTCGGACTCCCTATTGAAACTTGCGTAAGAGGGGACGTCACCCTTTGTGTCTCTTTTCGTGTCTGGAATCGCACGAACGTGTCGAGTGTGCCCATGTGTCCACCCACTACATGTTTCCGATACGTGTCCTCGGAGAAGAGTCCAACTGATTTCAGCAATTTTTGTCAAATTTGTCCTCTTTTTTGCTTGATGGGGTTTTCTTTGATCGTCTGAATCTCTTGTCGGATCTCAACTTGTGCCTCCACAAACTCATTAGTTTTCTTCCAGAATGGATGCCTTCACATTGGGTTGCCGATAACGTTTTGTCTTTCGATAGAGTAATTTAATGAATGGTCTCGCTTGCTCTGATAGCGAATGAGCCTTGAATTATCGGATGTTTTTTAGCACAATCCTTTGATTTTTCATCTTCTTTTTTTCCCCTCCACACTATTTATTCGAAGTTAACTCTTTTATATGGTCACAAAGAAACATTTTAAAAACCTATATGTGGAATGGTGAAGACAGACAACATGGCCAATGACATTTCACTGGGAACCACTCTTGTTGCACGTACCATTTCACATGCGAGATTAGATTACTCCCCGCAAGCTGCTGTTTCTAAAACATAATTGTCGGCCTCATGTCACGTTTTACTATAGGTGCCGTACAAGGAAAATCCCAAACAATTCTGACGTTTATAGAATCGAAACAATATTCTTCTGGAGCACCAGTAAGAGGTTGTTGCATCTGTTCTGATTGTTTTCTCAGCAAGGTTGCATATTAATGCTATTGTTATCTTTGCAAGACGAGAAAATGATACTAGAAATGTCATAACTTTTGTACGGCGCTCGTTTTAGTGCCAAAACTTTTCGTCATATTACTTGAAGTGCTATATCGGAGAAAAAACAATCACTTGAGTGCATTCGATTACAATTTGCGGCAAAAAGTCCTATGTGGCATTTTTAATAGAGTTTTATTCATATGTGGCTTTTTTATGTAAAAAAACAAGTCCAACATGGACTATGAAGTGGCCGTTCGAATTTTTTTTATTACAATTTGCGGCAAAAAGTCCTATGTGGCATTTTTAATAGAGTTTTATTCATATGTGGCTTTTTTATGTAAAAAAACAAGTCCAACATGGACTATGAAGTGGCCGTTTGTGACAAAACAATGCCGTTTCCTTCAAATTTAATCTCTCTCTCAAAATAGACGAATCTCTTACTTGTCGTTGTTTGTGTTGAGTTGGACTCTCTCTCTCTCTTTGCACCGCTCGCTTGCTGTCTCGCTCACTCAATCACTTAATCACCGTTATCCTTTCTCACTTACTCACTCAATTGGCACGGGAAAAAAATTAGAGCTCGGAACTTCATGGGAAAAAATTAGGGCTCGGAACTTCATGGGAATCAATTAGGGCTCGATTTTTGATTTGTTTTTCACTGCTGCCGCATATAGGGAGGGAGGTTGTTTTTGGGGAGGTTTTTGACTTGTTTTTTTGCTGGTGTTGTTGCATATGGTTGGGGAAAATTGTTGATGGGTAGGTTTGACTTTGCTTTTTGCTGGTGTCTTGTCGCAAATAGTTGGGAAAATTATTATTATTATTATTATTTTGGTCGGATGTTGGGAAAATTATTGATGGGTAGGTTTTTGAATTGTTTTTCGCTGGTGTTGCTGCATTAATTAGGGGAGGTTTATGTTTGGGACGTTTTAGACTTGTTGGGGACTTTATGTTAACGTATAAACATCCTTATTTCGAACGCAATGCTGTTTGATTTGAATCTGAGCTAGTGTTGATGGGGTAATTGTTTTTGTATGCGTTTTCAAGTTTGTACGCAATGTGTATTGCAAACCAAGTGATCCAATCACGTTTAAGAAAGTGCAATGAACAAATCACTTCTTAAAAAGTTAAAAATCATAAGCGATCACTTTTGATGAAAATTGACACTCAACCGATCACTTTTCACTGAACTTTGCCATGTCGGATTTTCGACAAGTCACGTCGGTCGGAAAAATGTGAAAATATTGTCATGTTGGATTTTCGGCATCTTTGATTGTTTTTTTTAAATATTTTTTTTATCAAAGATCAGAAAATTTTGGTATCAAAGTGAGCACCGTACAAAAGTTATGACACTTCTAATATCCTTTTCTTGTTATAAAATGTTTGTCGCATGTTGATTGTATCAAGTTAGGAGCATAGAATCGGACCGGTACCGGATAAATCCTAGCAGTTTAGATGGACCGGTCAGTGCCGGTGGTTCCTACCCTCATCAATCGTTTTCATTCCAGAGCCAACTGTTCCTAGATATACAAGTCTGAAGTCTCGAATCAATCATATATAAAGTGATTTAATCTCGTCTTCTCCGCCATTAAAATACTGTCAAAAGCAGCAAAGCCTCCCCTCTCTTTTTCTTTTGGACATTCAAAAATAGAAGATTTCACCTGGCCCGTGACAAAGTAACTTTCACATCCAAAGACCTAAAAACTTGAACACACCATACGGACGTTTTTGTCCCGGTGTTCCATTAATCATCTCACTGTAGCTTACCCCCCGTGGGTAACGCTGTCGCCTGATTTTCTTAGTCTTATTTTGGTGTTTTTAACGGAACGGAAAGACAGTGAAAAGAAAGACTCCAAAAGTGAAGTGTCTGATTGGCGTTACTAGTCCCACATGTTCTTCACCTCTCTCTCCGTCTCTTTCCCTTAAAATGGATTTCCTACATATCACGACCGAGGAGAAACCGCCAGGCGAATCCCGTTAACCGGTGGATTCCCTTAGATAGATTGCAATCTTGTTTTGCATCGCATATTCACGTTGAAGCTAATGTTAATCGTGTTCCCGTTTAACGTTACGGGTTGGTCCTTTCGATGCGTCCGCCCGCGTGCTCGGGGGATCGAACGCGATGGTTAAGGAAAGAGACATGTGAGCATTGGTTGTCGCCTTCTGAGACATGCTCTTCACGGCCACCTCCATCTCTCCGCCCTCCCTTCACTTCCAGTGCCTGTGAACTCCCTCGCATGTATATGTAAAAACTTCTTTGGGACTGAGAGAGCTTGATGAAGAGAGTGACCGAAGGTGAATCCGGGAAGGAGCAATGGTCCCCACCAATTGACTTATATTGGCATGATGCGATGTGGGTGTCTCCATGCCATGTGTGTAATGTGTGTCTCGGTACACTTTAGTGTCTTATCTGCAGGGCTTGACAAAAGCCGTCAAACTTTCGCAGGGCTTCTTTGATTTCACATTGAATTCGTGAGAAGATCGGTGGTCATTTGTTTTACTACAATGTCGCTCTGATAATGATGTCGATCACTCAAAAAGGAATCTTTGGGTTTGAATAGCAAGAGAACAGAAGATGACAGAACTACATACATTACACACATGACATGGAGACACCCACATCGCATCATGCCAATATAAGTAAATTGATGGGGACCATTGCTCCTTCCCGGATTCACCTTCGGTCCCTCTCTTCATCAAGCTCTCTCAGTCCCAAAGAAGTTTTTATATATACATGCGAGGGAGTTCACAGGCACTGGAAGTGAAGGGAGAGCGGAGAGATGGAGGTGGACGTGAAGAGCATGGTGGTTGCCGATGAGAATGACAAGCACGAGAGAGCCTTGGACGAACAGAGCAATGGCGCTGCGAAGAAGAGGAAGCTCGGCGGCATCAGAACCATGCCGTTCATCCTCGGTAATAGATCACCTCGATTTGGTGGCGAAAAAAGGAAAACAATATAGCTCAGTTCATCCTCATCTTATATCATGTTCTTGCTCTTTTCTTCTTATCTCTTTCAATGGAAAGTACATGACAATAACTCTGTTCCAAGACCATGACCTCAAAATCACCCCCGGGAATCTTCAATCTTTATCGGAATGAACATGGAAGACAAGGGGAGCTGAGTCTTGTGTGATGTTTTACTTCACATATTTCTCGATTAGCAATGATGTTGGTGATGATTATTTAAAAGTTGTATTGCAGCGAACGAGGTATGCGATAGGTTCGCGTCGTCCGGGTTCCACGCGAACATGATAACCTACCTGACCCAAGTGCTGAACTTGCCGCTGGTCCAGGCTTCCAACACCCTCAGCAACTTTGGCGGGACTGCCAGCTTCACGCCGTTGCTCGGCGCTTTGCTCGCCGATGCAGTGGCTGGCCGGTACTGGACCATCATCATCGGCTCCATTTTCTATGAACTGGTCGGCCCGCTCTCTCTCTCTCTCCGTAAATGGTGTACATTTTTTTCCTCCTATTCTGGCTTCTCAAGAGTTTCAAATCTATGCCTCGTCCTGATCCCCGGAGTAAGTTTTCATGTACTGTAGATACCATGTGATGCGATGTCGCCAATCCGAACAACACATTTTTTTACGCAAATATGATATCCCATCTCCATGACACGATATTGATCGTTGACGTTAGAATTCCCCGTGCCTACTTATTTGGTGAATACGACTATGCTTTCTGTAAAGTTCTCTTTTCATTATGACTCCAATAATAGATGGATTAATCACGATTACGGTAGTTCCGTAGCTCTTTTCTAGCTGGATTAAGTTCATATAACAAAATGAGCAACAGACGGAAGTACTTTGGTGAAACCAAGGGATTGAATTCAAGCTTGTACGGGCCCTTGAAGTTGATGTCTGAGAGTCAAACGAAAGTCAAGAAAAGTTGAGAATGGTGAGGGAAACAGCGGTCAACAGGTCAACTGAGCACAAGAGTCTTTAACACGGTGTCCTAAATCCAATTAAAGCTTTTCGTTCTTATAACTTTCGCAAGAGAAATTGCAAAAAAAAGAGGTTATAGATAGAGACAATCGGTAGAAAGTGACCAACACAACCAGTTATTGATAGAATGTGAAAGCAAAATTGAGTGGAGTTAATGGAAAAAAATCAGGATCAGATCGGTTTGTCTGTAAACAAGAAGAAAGTTCTACGATCATTGATGTGATTTAGCTGGTTTCCACATGATCTTGGAAATTCCAAAGAGGAAAATATCAAGAACTTGAATTTAAACTAACATTCACACAGCTGATTACAGGGTCTGGTCAGCATAGTCTTATCGGCGGTCCTCCCTTCCCTCCGGCCGCCGGCCTGTCCGACCCAGGTGAACTGTCAGGAAGCCTCCACCACCCAGCTGTGGGTCTTCTACATCTCCCTTCTTCTCACCTCCCTCGGTTCCGGCGGTATCCGCCCCTGCGTCGTCACCTTCGCCGCCGATCAGTTCGACATGTCCAAGTCCAAGGTTGCCTCCCGCAAGTGGAACTTCTTCAACTGGTACTACTTCAGCATGGGCATGGCCACGCTCACGGCGATCACTGTCGTTGTCTACATCCAGGACAACGTGGGATGGGGCTGGGGGCTTGGTATCCCAGCTGTGGCCATGGCAATTTCGGTGGTGGCCTTCGTTCTGGGGTCGAGGCTGTACGTTAAGTTGAAGCCCGGAGGGAGCCCACTCACGCGACTAGCTCAGGTGATAGTGGCGGCCGTAAAGAAGAGGAATGTGCCGGTGCCGGAGGATCCGGGGTTGTTGTACGAGAACAAGGAGCTCGACGCGGTCATATCCGTGCATGGGAGGCTATTGCACTCGGAGCAATTCAAGTAAGCTACCATTTCATTTTTGTAGACGAATGACGACAACGTACGACGCATGAGGTCTAACATAGTTATGGACTGCTAAACCATAAACTCTCATTTAGATTGTTTTCGCCATCAATCTGGAATATTGTGTTGCGTAATTCGGCCTAATTGATTCGCCGTTGAATCACACCTGTCTGCATATCAATTAATTATCAGGTGGCTTGACAAAGCCGCGACAATGACTGAAGAAGAAGCTAGGAGTTCAGGTCCACCGAATCTATGGCGGTTGGTCACGGTGCACCGCGTGGAGGAGCTGAAATGCATCGTCAGGATGCTTCCGATCTGGGCTGCCGGGATTTTGCTGGTCACGTGTTCGTCGCACCTCGGCAGCTTCACCATCGTCCAAGCTCGAAGCATGGACCGTCACTTGTCCCACTCCTTCCAAATCCCGCCTGCTTCGCTCTCCATCTTCAGCATCCTAACCATGCTCTCCGGTACAATCTCATGGGACCTGTAAATCTCAATCAATCATATTCATTTGAGTTTCTATTGATACAATTGGAAGCACAATGCTGATGTGAAGTTGCAATCCCTTTAGGTCTAGTTTTGTACGAGCGTGTATTCGTCCCCTTCATCCGCCGATTCACGGGAAACCCGGTCGGGATCACGTGCCTCCAGAGAATGGGGATAGGATTCACGATAAACATCCTAGGCGCAATCGTCGCGTCGTTCGTCGAGATCAAGAGGAAGAAGGTCGCCGCCGCTCACCACCTACTGGACGCACCGAAAGCCATCATACCCATCAGTGTCTTCTGGCTGGTCCCTCAGTACGTCATCCATGGAATAGCTGAGGTCTTTATGTCCGTGGGCCACCTGGAGTTCCTCTACGACCAGTCACCCGAGAGCATGAGGAGCACCGCCGCCGCGCTGTACTGGGTCGCCATATCGGTGGGGCACTACCTCGGCACGCTGCTGGTGACCCTCGTCCACGACTACACGGGCAAGGAGAGGAACTGGCTCCCGGACCGGAACCTCAACCGGGGGAGATTGGAGCGCTACTACTGGCTCGTCAGCGGGATTCAAGTCGTCAATCTCGTGTATTACCTGGTCTGCGCTTCGCTCTACACATACAAGCCCGTTGAAGAGTCGATCTGCAAGGAAGAAGAGGAGGCGGAGCCGGCGAAAGACGACGTCCTGGCTAAGAATATGGCCAACGGGACTAATGGGAATGCAGGGGAGATGGAGCTGATTGCCAATGCTGAGAAAGCTTAGAAATCTGCAGACTTCTTTTTTGGAGGGCTCTAGTGCCGCACCAGAAATGTCTACTATGTACTGATCATGGTTCGACGGCTTAAATCAGATCATGATTTTTAAGCATGTTACAATTTGATATGTGAATAGAGTTTAAGGATATATACATAGTTATTTAATTACTATATATCGAGCATGCTCAGTGGCAATTTCATGACAAGAAGATTTAGGAATTTAGAGCACACTACAATGCTGCTCATGCATCGACGTCGACCAATTCAAATGCATCATCGACCGAGGAAGGACCCTCCTGGCCAGACCGAAATAAGAAAAACAAAGTTGCAGTTAATCCTGAAGCAACTGGGTTATCGAGCTTGTGATCATGGCCGCTCGAGTTTCATGGATCTCGTAGAGCGAGGGAGATTTGGAGCTTGCCAATATGAAATGAGCGTGTGCTTAATTCTATCGGTGCTCTGTTGATTATCTTTGTTATATGGATTTGGCTTTGTTTTGTTATATCACGGGCTTTGCTTTGCTTCGATTTGTTTTGCCATGAAAGTTTATATACTTCTCATGTATCATTTTAAGCAATGTATACAATTTTCTTTCGACAAAAAAGAAAAATACGGCGGAACCAACTTACCAAAAAAAAATAAAAATATGACGGAACCATGACAGATGGAGCTTCTTTGAGCTCTGCCATGGTCGAGCCCTGTCTTGGTGGTCAATTACTCGAAATTTTATTTCGACGTGAACCCTTTTTTGTATGCATTTTAAAAGTTGAGAAACACATTATTTTCCATTTCTATTATCACCAAAACATCGTGGAAACAACACGGATCGAACACGAAAATTTCACATGAACACAGTAATTTGAACTCAAAACCCAAAACAACACATCACTATTCAAGAAGTGAAGCAGCTCATTCTACTCCAATGGTTGGTGTAATAATCTCAATTTTTCTTGATGGGATTATAGCCTTTATTGATTTTCATTCTTTCCCAAATATTGAAATTTAGTTTTCACTCTTTCTTACTACTGTCCCTAATTAATCTCACTTAACCCTCTAATTAATCACAAATTTTTGTTTTTTTCTGGAGGGAAAAGAAAAGAGAGAGAAAGAGAGAGAGAAAATCCAAAGGCCAATGGCCGTTGTCAAGAGGTGTCCGCAAGCGAGGGTTTAAGGGGGACGGTGGTGGTGGCGGAGCGACCAACCCACAAGCCTCCCTGATATTCTCTCTTCCTCCCTCAATTTTCCCTCCTCTTTCTTGGGTCCGGTCTGGTTTTCCCGGAAAATTCCCGGGACCGGCGGGGCGGGGGGGGCGACGAGAAAGCCCGGGCATTTCGCGTCAGATCCGGCGGCGTTCGGGGGACCGATGGCGGCCGATGTGCTGATGTGCGGGGGCGCGGAGCTGGCGCCCGAGGAAGAGAGGGTTCTGATCAGGGACATCGCGTTAGCGTCCGAATCCGGCACCAAGGAGGGCGATACTTTCTATCTCCTCACTCAGAGGTACGGCCGGCGATCGCTTTGGTTTTCCTGTGCTGTATGTTTTGCTTGCGTTTTTTTCTGGATTTTTGGGTGGAAATAGAGGGCTTCAGTAGTTTTGCTAGATTAGGCTTGGGATGGTTGCGACATTCCGACGCGACTCTGCCCCGTCTTCGCGAGAAGTCGATTCCGATACGCGCCTGAATTAGCATGTGCCGTTGTTATATCGACCTGTTTGAGGGTTTGGATTGGGGCTGTAGGTTCTGCAACTGGGGCCATTAGAAAGCAGGTGAGTAGCATTGGTGGCTGGATGTTGGTTTTTCTTTTTGCAAGTGGCGGGCGCTTCTGGCGAAGGAAAGATGAGATAGTTGAATTCAGTGACCTGACTCCTGAAAAATGTTATTACCCCACCATCTTTAGAGCACAAGCTTCTGAGCTTTGCGATTTAGACAATTCGACTGCGAATAGTGTTTAATTGCCGAAGTTGATTCGCTAAATTGGAAGTTGACTGGGGCCTGCAATTTATTCATGGCTTTTTCTCTCTCTGAAGACGTAATCGCATGTTGATTTAGGCACTCTTTATTGTACCTCACAGCTGAGGAGCATCTGATTAGGAAAGTTCGTGTTTTTTTTGTATTAAATATTGGTACATCGGGCATCTCTGAAACATGATTTAATCCCTGTAATAGATGGTGGCAGCATTGGATCGAGTATGTCAACCAAGACCAGTCAAATAACATGAATGATGGACCGTCCTTGACAGAAAATTGTGATTCAGCTGGCTCAATTACCCTTAGAAAGCCCAGTGTCATTGATAATTCAGATTTGATAAATGATTCTGCTTCAGAAGAATCAAGTGCAGGATTTGAGATTCATGATACTCTCTTAGAAGGTCGTGATTATGTTCTACTGCCATATGAAGTTTGGAATCAGCTGTATGTTTGGTGAGTTATTTCCTTTTTGCGCTTTGTAATATTATTTGGATGTGCTTTCCTGTTAACTGCAAAGGTGTTTCCGCTCAAGGTTTTGTATGGAAACTCGTTTTGATAGATTTATTTGGGTGTAGCATATATGATGATTATTGTATGCTTCCTCCTGACCCAGTGGGAAAGGAATATAGATAAAGAGGAGAACAGCAAATGTAGAAATTTGTCATATGTTTGTTAAAGTGTGTGGCTTATTTGGCTTCTGTGAGGGGTGGGAATAAGGTGCATAGGCTTTGATAATGATACAGTATTGTGGAAAGGAATTTGTTGTTTAAGTTTGCTGATAATTTCTGCTTTTATTATGTGCCTGCTTAGTGAGCTTTCGCATATTAAAAGTCATATGTGCAATCATCTTTAAACATTATGCTATAGATATCTCTTGAAAACATCTCTGTAATGTGTATCAAGTATTTTTCTCTCCTATTTGGAAGAAGTCATAAACTTGTTTTGTATACTGTAGTCTGATTTGCGAGGATCAGACTGAAAACTTGATGACAATTTCTGTTGGTATCAGGTATGGTGGTGGTCCCACCCTGCCTCGGAAGGTTATTAGCTCTGGTCTCTCTCAGACTGAGTTGGCTGTAGAGGTGTATCCTTTACGGCTGCACCTTCTTGTGATGTCGAAGGGAGACCGAACTACCATAAGAATAAGTAAGAAGGTATCATATGAACTTCTTGCTCTAGTGTCCTTTGCACGTCTAATGGAAAGGAAGCGTTAATGTCTTTTTGCATGTTTGCATTTGAGATTTCTCCCTCTTGTTAATCTGAAACCTGAATATATGACACAGGAAACTGTTGGAGATCTTCACAGAAGAGCCTGTGAGATTTTTGATCTTAACTCGGAACAAGTAAAGACTTCATGTATCTGTGCTACTTCTTTCATTTCCATCTAATTGGCCAAATCAATTTCTGGTTCAGTTCTTCATTAAGTTGATCATGTTTGGAATTTTTTTTTATGTTCCAGGTTTGCATTTGGGACTATTATGGTCATCGGAAGCATGCATTGATGAATGACATGAATAGAACTCTTGATGATGCGAACATTCAGATGGATCAAGATGTGGGTTCCAATATTCTGGCATTCTATTCCTTTTTTTACAATCTGGTTGCTCTTAGAACGGATTATCTTTTTTAGTAAGTTGTGAGAGAATATAAACGTCCAGGGAGGAACTTTTGAGAGTGTGTGGGATTGTTTTGGCATATATTGCATGCAATGAGTTGCTTTTTCTTCCCCTTATTTTCTGCTGTGCTGTAGTCTGGGATGGACATGTATGGGTTCGGGTAAAGGATCGCCTGTATTACTGTCGTTTTCAATGCTTACGAATGCTCCACGAGTCTCTGAGACATATGAAACTTTCGAGTTCTGGAAAGTGAATGTATCGCAAGATCATGAGGTATGTGCTATATTTTGGTGTCCCAATCTGGTGCTCTTCTGATAGATTGAGGATAAACAGAAACTTTTATCAAATTATATGCTTATTGGTATTGTTAATGGCAAACTAAATTCTTGGGCTAAGTCTGGTAAATAAGAATGGCATCCACTGTTACCTAGGTTGTTGATTTAGCATGTCCACCTTGCAGATACTTAGTTTTCTATTCTGTAAGTTGGTTTGATATTCTTGCAATATAATTTGCTGGTAACATTGCAGTAGATGGGTATTTTTGGGTGTCTTCTTCTGTCGCTGTGAAAAAAATATGAAGGCAACTGAATCCGATGGAATTATCTTTGAAAAGGATAGCCTGTATGTAAGTTTTCAGAAGTTGGATTTATCCTGTACTTATTCTGTTCATTCTTGAGTCTTTATGGTTTGATGGGAATTAGAATGCTTAACTTAATGATTTCTACCTCTACTGGATTCATTGTTCATATATGTGAACGTACTGCAAACCTGTGACTGCAGAAACGGTTTTTTGAGAAGATTAAGATCATTATGCTACATTAATCACTCACACAGGACCAGTTATGTTCTCATTAAAAAGATTAGCTTCAAATATTAATGATTGCCACCATAACAAGCCTGGGGGAGATTCGTATTTCTTCTAGTGCTTTGACTTGTTGTGGATAACGGGAGTGACTTATCATCATCAAATCCATAAGGAAAACAAGAGGAAGGCTGTAGGCTATAAAGGAAACTGGGATGTACACCATCAAGCATAATCGCTGCGATGTGGAAGGACAACATTGACAGTGAAAAACTAGTGCAGTAGCTCTTGTAATGTAAAGGAGCAGAGATCTTTATTGAGTTTAAGTTGTAGACTCAAGTTCTCATGATAATGCCTTGTCAGTCATGTAATGCTGGAGGAAGTTAGATCCAAGGATACTGGGAATATCGAGGGTGCAGTGCACTTATGATAAATTAAGCTGCTCTTTCCTTGGGCTGTTACTGTTGAAGAAGTAAAAGTATCGCTGTAGAGTGGATAAAGATTCTGATTGATGCTTAACATTACGGATATTGGAGAGGGAGGTTGAGGTTTAAATAAATCTGTTGCTTCACCCATTGGTGGATTGATCACTGATCAGTTGGACAAGATACTGCTACTGCTGTCTGGACTGATAAGGAATGACCCTCTTCATCTGTGCATGTTTGTCGCTTGGCACTTTGTGCAGCTTATATATCCTTGCTCTTTCTGTCGAAGAATATCTGTAGAGTGGAGAAAGATTTATTAAGTTATAGCTAGGTCAAAAAAAAGTGTTCGTTTGTGAATGCATTA